GGAGGGAAGGAGGGAGGGAAGGAGGGAGGGAGGGAGGGAGGGATGGACAGTGCTCTACCACTGTGCTACAGGAAAGACTCTTCCTAGCTTATAAACACAATCTTATATTACATCAAGGATACAAGTACATTAATCTCTCCAATTATAGATTTGTTTCCGGCCTCGTCTCCTGCCATTAATCTCTGTGGGATAGTAAAATATCAAACTTAAGTATTATATAATACATAAGTAGATGGATGTATGATTAAATTGTCAAATAACTGTTATCTAATTTAACAAAATGTAACACATAAATATTTAATATCCAAAAATCAACTTCTAAATTCTAATTCAATCTTGGGCTTTCACATAGTTTGGTCGATAACTTCAAACTTCAAATATCACCGACAAGTGAATATTGGTTTCTGCACATGCTGCGTTCAAAATATGAAATAAATATTTATTATAGAAATAAATTGATGTAATGTCCATTATTTTTTGAATAATATCACCTGCGTCCGGCTACAAGGGTGGATTGTAATATTTGATGGATAAATCCTTATACAGTGGATAATTAGATGCTGTTATCTGACAAATTCATTCACTGGATAGGAATATTTATCCATTGGATAGTGCTATCCACCCTTCGTACCACCGGGCCCTGAGTAAATAATACAAAAACAGTTATTCGCCTTACTGGCTCAGTGATTATTTGTAAATATGTACCGAGCTGTTCAAAGCTCAGTGCTTGGTAAATATTCAAGGATAATCATTTAACCCGAGTCAAATCATTCTTAATTATCCTCCAAAATGGTTCATTTAAAATAAACACGATCTTCCGTTACATAATATCTGCACGAGCAAGATATTGTTCCAGACTTCTGTGCATCTTAGTTTCAAAGTTCAATTTATTTTACATTATAGTGACCATTTAAGAGCTTTATCAAGGGATCTCTAGTTATCACTAAGACTATCAACTGTTGACTGTTTAACGAGTAAGCTGTAACTAGTACAAGCTAGTACAAGTAAAACACTGACCTTCAAAGCGTAATCTTTGCCGGTTTTCTCGTCTTGTGCAACGAATACAAACCCATAACCGCCTACAAAAACCAAACGAACACTTAATAGAGTCGCTATTTAACATAATTGTGAAGATTTTCGTTCTAGTTTTACCTTCTGCGATGACTCTTTTGATCTTCAGTTGGATGGGACCAAGTTCGACATATTGCCCAACGAAGTCATTGTCTGATTTTCCTGTCTGGCTGATGTAACTCAGCGCCGATCGAAAAATTTCTGCCATTTTGAGAAAATACTCCTTTAGGAGACCTCTTTAGTGGCTTTTGTAGTCGATATTCTTAAATGTAAGGCTTTTGTGTGGCATGTTCAATGTTTTATAAGGAACGATAGGGCCGCCATTTTGTAAACAGGCCGAGTAAAAGAACGCCGGACCGACGACATATCTACGAATATACTTCGTGTTCTTATCGAATCGCTTCGGAAAGTGATCGGGTATTCGGGATTATCTTTTCAAAAATTCACGAAGCCACACTATAAAAAAAGATGACAAGAAATGTTAAAAATTAAGCTATATCTCCAATGAATAATACGTGCAAATGTAAGTCTTTCGGGGAAAATATCACGAGAAATAAAGTAAAGTTTTATTCAGTTGTATCGTTCCCGGAAGTTGGAGTTCATCCTACCTTGACATGACGTCACGAAAACATTCTTTATCAAATGGGTTACCTGTGTTTTATTCAATATTTTCAACATGGCGGCCAATTCGATTTTTTGGAAACTTCCAGAGAAATTTTCATTTTTCTCGCGAACTTTAAACAGAAAAGTCGAAGTACAGGCTTATGTCATGGAGTTTAGAAGACTTCTACCGTGTGACGGTCTAGGATTCCAAGAGGTAAGTGAAAATTATTTTTTATTTACATTTGCATCCCCGTTGCTAACGAAATGACACTCACATTTTTCAAATGTTTTCCTAATCTTTTTAGGTTACAAATAAAGAGCTACTCCATGGAGTCGTTGGTCTTTACGATGTTTGTCTTCCTGATATTACACCAGATGTTCTTTACGGTACTGTGTGTGGAAAATGGGCAAAAACGTTGATTTTTATACGGAGTTTATCAGGTGAGTTTAAGCAAAGAGGTCTTACTTTTTTATTTTTCCCGTGTATATCGCTTTATACAAACATAGTTTGGAGACAAAACATTATGCAACCCTTCCCTCCCCCATTCCTTTAACAAAGACAAACATTTACCACCCCCCCCCCCCAAGAGTATGGTAGTGGTGGATGATGCAGGGATTCGGGGGGGGGGGGGGGCAGTGTCAGAGTTGGGTATCAGTATTAATAATTATAATTGGCAGCAAATAGACAAAGCTACTTACAAGTTGCATCTGCTGAACGTCAGTTTGGAGGAATCTAGGGGAAGGTTTTCAATTTTTTGCACAGCCACAGCCAAGTTTGATAAATCGAAATCTGGAACATATAGCTATAGCTGTTGTCTTGGTCATACAATCATAAAATTGGGTATATTCAATTCTATATAACTAGAATGTAATTTCCATTGAAAATCATAGCAGTAAACCTATCATAGTAGTAAATATAGTAAACCTCGCAGCTTTAAGAATTGAGAGTTATGGTACTGTAGCCTACATGTAGTACATAAGGTGGGTTAATTCTCAACCAGAGTTAAAGTCAGGCTTCACACAGGCAATGGGAGAGGGGACATTTACTTCTTTATAACCAGCCCATCATTATTTAATGCCATTTTGTCATTTTATTCATTTTATTTTGCTCTTTTTCTTTAAAAGATGTGTTAAAAGAACAACGAGAAAAAGTAAAGAGTAAAAACAAGAATACCATTGAAGAGGAGAAGAATGCTGTACAAAGTGAGGGAGTTGAGCTACATGTAACAGTTCCACAAGATCCAATTTACCTTACTGAGAAGCATGTTCATTGGGAAGATGAAACAATTCCTATGTCATTCGTTGAAATGGAGGAAAAGCTTGAACAAAACAAGGAAAAAATAAAGGAACAATTAGATCCATTGAATGTTATAGATATAGCAGAACAAACTGTAATCAAAAATGAACCCAAATCTCTAAAAACTGATAGCAAAGGAATAGATATTCATGATAAACATAAAGAAAAGAAAGAAGAAGAAGAAGAGGATGAAAAACAAGAAGAAGAACCAGGGATGTTTGATGGAGTTTTTAGTGATTCTGAAGGAGAGCAGGAGTCCTCCGATGAAGAAGAAGACGAAGAAGATTTTTCTGTTGGTGTAAATGATTTTGTAGCAGCAGCAAAAGAAAGAAAAAACCAAAAAGAATCAGGAAATGGTAAAGCAACAATGTCCTTTATAAAATAACTGTCATTATTTAATGGGTTTACCACTCCTGGGTGAGTGGCTTAATGCCTAACAGGTTTTGCAAGTACCCAATTTGATAATGCAGCCAATAGTGTAACATTAGTACAATTTAGAAGAAATTTTTGTGGAGGGAGGAAATACTGTAGAACCCAGACGAAAAACCCTCAAGGCACAAAAGAGAACCAACAAACAACGACACCAAGCCCACTAGGGTTCGAACCCTGCTGGGTTGCATTGCATGGTAAGAGGCCTGCACATACTTTAAGCTGTCCATGTCACCTGTGCTTCCCAAATCTTCTTTATACATCTTCAACTCACAATGCTTTTGGTTTGGTTGAGGGTCATGTGTTAAGTGTGCATATAATAATTATAATATGTTTCATATGCATATGCTCACTTGCATGCCATGCCCAGTTATAAAGTATTTGGAAATTGACAGCAAAAAAAGAAAAAAGAAAAGAAAAAAGTCTCTCATCTAACTGTTCCAAAAAAGTGGTCTGACAAATAGATATGCAACTGCAACTTATGCCATGCTATCGCCAATGTTGTTTTCAGTATCTAAGGAGACTATAGGCATAGAATCATTGCTTGTTGGTGCTGCAAGTTATGAAAGAATCTATGGGTAAGCAATCTAGTAGTTGATTAATGAATCTTTGCATGCTAAGCCTGGTTCACACTAGCATCAGAATCAGAAGCAACATACTCAGACCAAGAATCACGCTTATCACCCAGTAGTGAAAAAGACAAGCGCTGTTAATAATGAGACACTTTTGAGTCTGCATAATTTGTTGCTTCTGATTTAGATATCAAACTAGCTAGTAACACGTGAACCAGGCTAAAATATGATTGTTCTGATCTTTTATCCAGGAAACCAAAAGAAAAAGTGATGCAAATAAGTTTGTTGGCTGTCAGAAAGAGATATCAAAAGTGTGGAGTAGGAAAAATGATTCTAAATGTGAGTATTCCCTCCCCTCTCTGCCTCCTCATGGTGTGTGGAGATATAAAGCATATGTAGGGTTGGCAGAGCACGAGATCCGATCTACCAATCCCCAAGTGCTTTATATCTCCACACAGCACAGTAAGCAAGGTTTCAATTTCTTTTATGAGATATAAATTACAGGAATGATGAAATTAGAAGTGTGCAAAGCATGCTGTGTGCATACATGCGCTCCCAACCATTCAGAACGCAAGATTTAGAAGCCAGAGTTATTTTATAGTCAGTGGAAATTGATAAATAAATAAATTGAATTGACTTGCTTTCTAAAATATTTTTATTTGTAACACCAAATTTTCTGATGATGGATAATCTAAGATCCAAAAGCTCAGAAAATACTAAATATATGTAGGTGAAATAACAACTGGATAACTGATATGTTTATTCTTACCATTGAGTTTTGTGTTGTTAGACGCTCAAGGACCCTACATTCATTGGACCGTATGACAGTATTGCTGTATATGCCGATCACAGTGCAATCGATTTCTTCAAGAAAAATGACTTTACAGATGACGTAGTGCTGAATAGCAGATTTACGTAAGTAACTCATAATAACCCTAACCTTATGGATGAATGCCATAGGCGTTTTAGGAGGGCTACGAGTTTATTAGTACCTTCGTACTATTTAGTATCACCCTCAATGAATAAAAGCTTTATGATTATGATTACGATAAGCCTTTTCATAGTTTAAAGTGCTACTATGACGAAAATTGCTCAAACTTGGATTCAGCTGAAACTTCCT